GTTCCTGTAAACGCCTCTGGATCGTGTTGTGCTGAGCTGCGAGTCAGACGGGGGGTCTGAGGCATCCTCTCTGCTCTCTCCAGATAGATGCCATGGCAGAGGCTCCTGGGACAGCTCCTCTCCAGGAAGAATGGCTACAGAAGCAGAGATCTCCATTCCTGAGCACCGGGGTAGGTTCTGGTGCGGATTGGGCTGCTCCTAAGAGAGCTCTTTTCTGAATACTCGCACTGACTCTGCAGCTGTGGGTCCCAATGTTCAGAACAACATGGGTAGGAGATGACGCTGGTCCAGCGGCTTCAAATCTTACCCAGCAAGCCCTGGCTCAGCCCCAGCTGCTCTTAAGGTACAACTCACAACCCATGTCTCCCAAAACATTTTTCTTGGCCATCCATCCAGGCTAATCTCCACTCTCCTCAGAAATGAGATACACCCACACGTAACTATCAGGAAGATAGACTGTCATCGGTGGCATTTAGTTGTGCGACCGGGGACACTTTTGACCTCAGTACGTAAGGAAACTTTTCTGCATCTTGGTATCACCCATTCTGGAGGAAAGAGATGACCTGCTAATGACCGTGTTACTGATGGCCCTGGTTTGGCATCATTTCGCTAGCTTGCAGTGATAACATTTGCTAGCTTGCAGTGATGATATTTTCTCTTTTCAGAAAGCACTCAACATTGTTATCAATCCATCCAGTAGCTCTTAGCCCTTTTTCAGTTATGCCAAACCTATAAAACTTTTTGAAAACTTTTACCTACCAGTAAACTTTACATGGGAACATACGTGATTATTATTGCGTGCTATATTTGACACCCTGAAGCCCATCTCTGACGTCTATCACACTGCTAACCTCTGTTCTAGAGAGAGAGCATCCTGGTCCGGGGACCTCGTCTGGTTCCTTGTGTGTCTCCAGAGTGTACTGGGGTTTCTGGTGCATAATAGATACAGTACTTGGGAAATGTGGGTTGCAAGTTGAATGAATTAACTGATCTGGGAGTGAGTTTGTGAGAGCAATGCTGGCTTGGTGATAACCCCATGAAGGAGACCATTGCTCTGTTGGCCCAGTAAGAGTGACATTAAGTGACACTGTGCATAGCTCAAGGGTAGTCCCCAAGGCTGCACTTGGGTGGAAATGAGAGAGGGCAGGACAAACAAGGTTGACAGCATTGACAAGGGAAACACCTTGGGATGGCACGGACTGGAAGAGGTGCCAGGTGAGTACCCTGGGGATTGCAAACCTCCAGACCAATAGTTCTCAAATTCAGCCTTCTTAGGACTTATCTGAAGAGTCTGTTATACAAACAAGCTGTTGGATCCCACCACCATAGATTCCGAATCAGGTGGTCTTTGGATCACACTTAGAGAACCACTGCTGTAGATCAGAGAAAGATGTAGAGGCTGAAGAAAGAAAAGAAGGAAAATAATGTTGTTTGGGGCACAGATCCATTCACCACAGCACGATAAGGATAATGAATTTCTCTCTCTCTCTCCCTCTCTTTCTGTCTGTCTCTCTCTCCTTTACTCTCATTCTATCTCCTTCTTTTAATCTGCTGCAGCTATAAAGAGCTTTTGAAAGTTTATGACACATTGCCCAGAGTGATCAAATATTAGCCTGCAGAGTTTTTTTTTTTTTTTTCCTGAAATCACCGCTCTGGCAAAGGCTGGTCACTGCGCAGGCAGGAGCCACTCAACAAGTTCCTCACGTGGTAACAGGGAGAACAAGCCTACAGAGACCTCCACTTTGGCTCCCACGAGGGGAAACCAGCAGACCCACTCGGGACATGAGCTGTTTTTTCGAGCTCTGTTTTTCAGGGGCTTCTCCCCGAATGACATATAACGAGAACAGAAGATGCCAAGGCTGCCTCTAGCCATGGATTGTGGGAGGCCCACCACAGCTGGCCTCCCAGAGGCCCAAAGTTGATCATTTGCACCTGGCATTTCCAAATGCAGCTTCCCAGACTGGAATCCTCAAGCTGCGGGGGGAGGACCCATGGAGCTTTGTGAAATATGGATGTCTGGGCCTCACACCCTTGAACTCTGGCTCAGAAGGTTTGCGGTGATCCCAGGAACCTGCGCTCTTTTAAAACCACCAGGTATTTTGGATGGGCCACCAGATTTGGAAACTTTAGGAGGACTCTAGCACCACAACATCTGTTTCAGTCCTCCAGCCAGCTGAGATCAAAAATTCCCATCCTAGGGCTTCCCTGGTGGCGCAGTGGTTGAGAGTCCGCCTGCCGATGCAGGTGCATGCCGGGAAGATCCCACATGCCACAGAGCGGCTGGGCCCGTGAGCCATGGCCGCTGAGCCTGCGCATCTGGAGCCTGTGCTCCGCAACGGGAGAGGCCACAACAGTGAGAGGCCCGTGTACCACCCCCCCCAAAAAAATTCCCATCCTAGATCTGGTGTGGATGCCTCCAGGCCTTTCCCCTATAATCTCATTTTAAAACCCAGTTCTGATGTCACTTTTTTCAGGAAGCCTTCCTGGGATGTCCAGCTGAAATTTGTTATCTTCCCCTTCTCTCTCCTCCATGGCACATTTCCAGTGTCTTTAATGACACTTTATAGCATGACCCACTCCTCATATGACATTTGTCCACCAGTGCTGTGCAATGAAAATATAATGCCAGTCACATACATAATCTTTAATTTTCTAGTAGCCATATTTTGCTTAATGGAAATAAATAGGTAAAATTAATTTTAATAGCATGTTTGATTTAACTCAATATATCCAAAATGTCATTTCAACAAGTAGTAATATAAAACTCATCAACAAGATTTTTAAAATCACACTGAGTATTTGAAATCTGGTGTGTATATGACACTTAGATCTCATTTCAGCTTTCCTTACATTTCAAGTGCTACATGTGGCCACATGTGGCAAGTGGAGGCCATACTGGGTAGCACAGTCCTGGTTCTCTGAGGGCAAGTCTGTGACTTTGCCTCTGGGTCTTCAGAAGCAGAGTCTTTCCCCGGACCCACTATAGGAGCTTAGAAAGGGTCTGAGTCCATTCAAGTACAAATTCCTCCTGGACCAGATCCTTTGGCTTTGTGTTTGTTTGTTTGCTTTAAGGCACAGTATCTCTGTAGATGAGAGTGGTTAACGGGTACATCCGGAAAAGGGAAAGCTATCCAGAGCAGGTTTCATTTAAGAGGACTGAGTATTGGGAGAAACCTGGGGGATCAGGGCATTCATCAAAGGGAGCAGAAAAAGGCAGTGGATCCCAAGGGGTAGATACCAGGGTAACTTCTCCATCCTGCAGTGCGGGATCCAACCTATCAGAATCGGGCGATGGTGGCTCTGAACCATATGTTCAGTCTCCTTCTGCAGGTTACCCTGAGCTGCCTGAAGAACACCACCTGCCAGAGGATTGGATTGAGGTGTATGTGGTCAGTTAAGTCTCTAAAAAAGAGCTGCAGCAAGAACGTGTTCTCAGCAAAGATGACTTCTGAAAACACATTGAGCCCGTTTATACCTTGGCCACAGGCTTCCCAAGAAAGTTCACTGGCTTACCTCATAATTCACTCATAGTTGGGTCAGTTAAGAGAACGGGCTACCACTTCTGTCCAAAAGGAATTACCTCCAAGCCAGTGCCTACAGATACATGATCATAGCTTCCCAGGAAACAGATATGTCCTGAGGAAATCAGAGTTCAAGCCCCTTTCCCTAGATCTTCTGAGTTCAAATAATCCATGTATAGAGGTACAGGGACTGGAGTTCGGTACACCCGCCCACTCCCTCCAAGCTGCTTGTCACTAGCAGTGTAGTAAGTTTCAACCAGGCATCTAAGGAAGAACAAACCCTTGGTTGGACCATATCGTTCCTAGGTGAGGCTTGGGATATGGTAGCAAGAGCCCGGCCTTTGGAGAGGAACACCCCGTTCTCCAAATGCCAGCCCACCCATTTATTTGGAACATCTATCGTATTAGAACTGTTCATTTGTACACTTCCTAGAAGGGCTTTTCGGTGTTTTATGCAAAGCACTGTAACAAATGGTTAAGATCTTGGCCCACGAGCATGTGACTTCCAGCAGGTTACTTTTCCTCTTTTAGCCACAGGTTTTTCACTGTGAAATACGGGTACTAACAGTCCCTACCCCCTAGGGTTGTGTACTGATTAAACCAGGAGATAAAGTTCTAGTCAAAATGTATGGAAAGTGCCCCATAAAATTTCATAATGATTTGAAAATTCAACCCAACATAAAACAGGACAGTTTAATGTAGAAAAATGAGTTTAAAAGAGTAGAGAAATGGATATTTTCAAGCAAGTGGGCACTGAATACATATGATTACTGCAGTAAGTGATGGGCATCTGAGGGTAATTAGAAGAAAGGAAGCCTGTCCTCTTAGTGTTAAGCTTACAGTCTAGTCCAGTGGACTGTACCACAGGAGGATAGCCTTGTGTTAGCCCATGTAGCACCCACTATTAACACAATAGAGGCCACCACCACGGGGTTGACTTGTAGTCAGAGCAGACCAGAAAAAACACTTTGCCTCTGGAGAGGCAATGGGATTGCACCACTCACCCCAGGCAGGAAAGCTACACCAGCCCATGTATAACAATGGGACGAGCAGCCTGTCTTCTAAGGAGAGTGAGAAGGGAAAGTCCAAACTGAAGGAAAGAGACAGGTGAGAAGGGAATAAGAAACTTTAGTGAGAAGTAAGCTGGATAGTAAGAATATCAAAAGAGAAAACAGACCAAGGGCTTATCAGCAGGCACAGTCTCCAAAACATCGGAAAATGTTGCTAAGATCCATAAGATGACAACAGCTTGCAACGTGGGGAAGGGATGGGAGAGGAGGGAGAGGGGGAGTGGGAAATTCATCTCCAACCCACTGTCTGTTCCTTAGCACAGACACTCCCAGGGCTCCCCGGCTCTGCCAAGATCACCCTTCTGCAGAGCTGATCACAAATGCTGATGATTGAAAAGTTGTGCAGTCCTCAAAGCCTCGGCTTTCCATTCCTAAGAATGTCCAGGAAAGGCTAGTTTAAGACACTTACCTTCTCTCTGCCTGGCTTTCTCACTTGTGCTTGCCAAGGCTGGTCTTCCTACAAGGAGTAATTAGATTAAATCTTTAGGACGTTTTGAGCTGCGAGAAGGGAGAACACCAGCACGTACATACAGGCACAGTTATTTTCACAGGATTCCATTTCCTCTGTTCTCTTTGAATTCACCTCCTGGTAACAGCTGTCTGGCTCCCTAAAGCAGCAACAGCTGCAATAATGAACCCACCATTTGAGCCTGTGGATGACACCGGCTCAGCCCCGAAATGCAGCTGTTCTTTAATGCCTGATGTCTTAGCCCTCCCCAGCTCTAGACAACAAAGAGAGCCATTCGTGAACACCCCACATCTCAAGTTTTCATATGGGGGATCCCCTATTCCTTTCACCAGTGGCACAGTTTCTTACTTCTGCCACTTATTGGTCGTTTGACTGAAGGCAAGCTCAAAAAGCCTCTCTAAACCTTAGTTTCCTCAGTTCTCTGATGGTGATGATAATATTACCCACCTCGCGATGTTGTTTGTGAAGCTCCAAAGATATAATAGATATGAAAATCTTTTACATGTTATAAGGCAATATTCTTGTATTAGGTATTATTAAGGTCCTTGTTTCTGATTTTAACAAGTGAAAAATTATTAAACAATATAATACACTTCTGAATAATAATAAACTTCTGAATGGGCTGTCAGTATAATAAACTTCTGAATTGGGCTGTCCGTATACATGGTCTCTGAGGAGTGGAGAAATCACAGAGGTTTCTGGAGAAGACACTTGGCCCCGCAGAGGGACTGGTAGAATCTGAGAGGTTAAGGGAGAGAGAGAGAGATTTGGGTGAGGGACACAGCCCAGGCGAAGGGTGAGAGAAGAAAATGTGGTCTACTGACAAAGTAGGGCCATCCTGGAATGGGGCAGAGAATGTGCCTGAGGACCAGGGGGATGGAAAGTTGGGATGGTCAGGATGAGCCAGAACATGGATGGCCTTAAATGACAGGCAGAGATGTTATCAGAAGAGATTTTAATAGCATGAAAATGTCAAGCCCGGGAGGTCACTCAGTCCTCCTCCCTGCCTCCAAGGGTTTATCTCTCTCCAACAATCTAGACAAAGGGCCTGCACTGGACATGCTCTTGGCTTTCTGGAGCCAGGCTCCGTAGCTCTTGGAGCCCTGGAGGTCTTCTCTCTGTCCAAGTGAGTGATTCCCAGCTTCCCTGCTTATTAAAAAAAGAGATTACTGGGCTCCAGCCTAGACTCATCAAATCAGAGCTTCAGGAGAGGGGCCTAGGAATCTTCCTTTTCAAAATAATTCTTCCTCTCTCCCCAGGTTCTTCTTGTTGTCATGGAAGTGTGGGAGGTGTGCATGTGAGCTATGTGCCATGCGTGCTAAACGTGGAGCCCCAGAAAGACTCAGCAACCTTAGCACATCCTACTAGTTGATGTCCTAGTGTCTTTACAGAGTCCCTCCCTCCCTCCCTCCCTTCCTCCCTTCCTTTCCCCTGTGGGGATCTCAGGGGCTGTTTGAGGATATATTTTCACTTTGTGATTATTTCACTTTAGATGCTCCTTTTTTGTATTTTTAACGGGAGTAGCAGCTGGACCATCCACCTTCCCACACCCACTGTCCTCCCTGCTGTTCCCCCGGCTGCCCTGGCCCTTCCTTCCTTCCTTCTTTCCCTCCCTCCTTCCGACTTTGTCTTTTCTTTCTTTCTTTTTAAATAAGTGGACTATCCAGTTGCTTTGATTCAACTTGAGGGCAACTGTGGTCCTCAAGTCTTTGTACTGTACACTATACATGGACCTACTCAGGCCAGCCTTGCCTAGTCACTGCTTTGAAAATTCTAATTTTTAAATTAATAATTTTTTGAAACTTAGAGAATACTGACAACTATAAAGTATAGTTACTTTATAATAGCAACTACAAAAAATTGAAATTTCTTTCCATGTATTAATCTTCACAGCAATCCTGTGAAGTAGGTGCTGTTATGATTCCCGTGCTACAAATAGAGAAACTGAGATGCAGAGAGATTAAGTTACCTGCTTAGGATCATATAGTTACAAAAGTAGACAAGTCAAAGTTTGGACCTAGGAAGCCTAGCTGCAGAGTCTACACTTTCTAACCATGACACTAGACTACCCCTCAAGAAGAAAGATGAACGAAGAAAACTTATCCTCAATTCCTATTACCAGAAGTAACCACTCAAACACTTAGTCTTTCTCTATTAAAAAAAAATGTAATTGTATCAAAGTATTAATTTCATATATCTTGCTTTACAATTCTAATATTAAATTATAGTTCCTATATTACATGTTCTTCATAAATACGGTTTTTATCCACTATATAGTATGCCATCATATGGAGAGGACATAATTTATGTAATCACTGCTTTCTTATTAGATGTTGAGGTTGTTTCTAATTTTTTACTCTCATAATACTATGATGAACTTTCTTGCCCATAAATATTTGACTGCAGCTTGATTTAGTTCTATAGAATAAAGTTCACGTGTCAAAGAGACTTTTAAATCTCAAATGCATTCTGGAGACTTTAAAATATAAAAAAAAATCTAACCAGTTTACCCTCCCACAAGTGGTGTGTGGGAGGGACCGTTTCCTCACCCTCTTGCCAACTTTGCCCATTTGGGAGGTGAAAAATGGCCTCGCCTTGTTGCTGCATTTGCATGTCTTTGATTAAGTGAGGTGAACATTTTCTTCTGCGTTTGTTAGCCGCTGGGTACTTCTTTTGTGAGCTGTTTATTTATGCCCTTGTTCATCTCCCCAAAGGCAAGCTTGTGTTTTTCTTGTCTGTATGAGTTCTTCATAGCAATATCCTTTTGAGTCATATTTGTTGGAAATATTTTCCCACGTTTGTTCTTTGCCTTGTATCTGCCTTTTAGGTTCCAATTAACTTGCAAATATGAAAGTCTGAATTGAAAATGGTCCAAAGGAGGGGCCAGAGTTTCTGAAAATGAGCAGACTCATTACACAGATATCTTGCTAAAAACATTGAGTACTCATTTAATACCAGGAGTTTTGGCATCTTAGTCATTGGTATTGGCAACGACTAAAGAAGAAACTGCACTTTTCTGCTGCTCAGGCTGATAAAAACAGAGGGAAATCCTTAGAGAACAGCCTCAGTGCAAATTGCTTTCAACTTTTTTGACATGGGTATTAAAATGCCACCCCAAATACCAGTGGTAATAAAGAATCCAACTTAAAAGGGGGAGTAGGTGTAAATGTAACACATGAGATTTTTTTTTTTTTTTTGGAATCTTGCTAGACTGGTGCTGAACAATCAGTGGTGAAGCTCTCAAAGCTGCCTCTCCTTCCTTGTGTGGAAAACCCCAGGCTATTTGTGGACTAAATATTGACATGAGATTTTGAAACAAGACGAACGGCTCATATTCCCTTGCAATAGGAAAACCCCACACATTCTGCCCTGCTCCTCTCAAGGGAGAATTAGCTTCACTTCCTCTATTTATTACCCTCTTCCCCTGCTCTGATGTTCCTCCGCCCCACACATCACATGCCCCTCTCTGCTACCTTCCTGTCCTCCACCGAACTGCCCATTTTGTGCAGACATGGTGACTGGGTATTTATCCCAAATGAACACATTTAGTCATATATTCAAAAGAGAAGGTGGCTCATATTCTGATTAGAAACCATAGGGACGGGACTTCCCTGGTGACCCAGTGGTTCAGAATCTGCCTGCCAATGCAGGGGACACGGGTTCGATCCCTGGTCAGGGAAGATCCCACATGCCACGGAGCAACTAAGCCCCTGCACCACAACTACTGAGCTCTGTGCTGTAGAGCCCGCAAGCCACAACTACGGAGCCCGCGTGCTGCAACTACTGAATCCCACGTGCCTAGAGCCCGTGCTCCGCAACAAGAGAAGCCACCGCAACGAGAAGCCTGCGCACCGCAACGAAGAGCAGCCCCCGCTCGCCGCAACTAGAGAAAGCCTGTGCACAGTAACGAAGACCCAACGCAGACAAAAATAAAATAAATAAATAAATAAATTTATTTAAAAAAAAAAAAAGAAGAAAGAAACTGTAGGGACCCCACAGGGACATGGCTATTTGGGAATAGCCTTTTTAAGGCTTTTTTTAAGAGAAAGCCACACTGCCTTGGCCTCCACCTACATTCATTCGGCCAAGAAAGTTCACCCAGCACTTGGCTGTGGAGTGAGTTGATGAGTGAGGACCTTGAGCTCAGGTCATACAAGCGCTTGAGGACAAAGAAATCTTAGACACTTTTGGGAGCAAGGGTGCTACTCTACCTTGTGACACTGCTTAGCCAAGGGGATGGAGATAAACATGGTTTCAGGTCAGGAAATCCTCCTCAGGAACTGCTTGAGAAGTCTGCAAGGCTTTTCTCTTTCTGTCCTAAAGGATTTCTACAGTTTAGCCTATTTATCTTCTGTCTCTCATCTCTCCTACGAAGTCAGCCATAGGATTTCATTCCTATTTTTCTTTTCTGCTACTTTGTCCTAGTTTAAATACTCAGCTGGTGAAAGTCATCTATGTGCACAGTGCACAATGCTTTGCAATTTATTTTTAAGAGGACGAAAACAAAAAGATTACCCTTTGGCTTTCCAATGAGCCTCAAACTCAAATCATGAGAGCCAGAAACTTTTATTATTTTCCTAGTTTGTAGAGAGAGCGATGGCAGTGACGTGAAAGCGATGCTGGGAAGAACCATCACTGGCTTCGCTAGAACTCTCACAGGCTTCACAGCCCAGGAGGCTGCGTCAGTAACCAACTAGGAAACTGCTACTTTTATTTCTCTTTACCAGCTCAAGGGCATAGGAAGATATCACATTGCACTTAAGTGTTTTCTTTAAACACACACCCAGACACACACACACACACACACACACACACACACACACACCCTCTGCCCCATGAGAAATATCTATTATCCAAATGTGAGCTGGGCGCTAAGGTTGTGAGATAGGGCAAACGGTCCAGGTTTTTAACTTAGTCCCAACTGTGTTCAAGCACCGTCTGTGTCCCTTGCCAGCGGAAAGGCCAGGAGCTACCGTGGACAGTGGGGT